TTTAAGAATGTATGATATTATGTTAGTTTTGTGTAAAAAGTACATTAGTAAAGTGATAAAAATATCTACAATTATTCACATACTATACTTTAAATACGTTAGGTAGTTTGGTATGGAAACCCGTAGATAAAATGATGATAATATCTATTATATTAATATTATTATTCCCCTCTATATATAGGTAGTTCAATCTTACAGTACGTACTGGTAATAAATAGACGTCCATACTTGGGATGGTCAACCCAATTTCATCATCATCGGGTATCATTAACAGGTGTTCCATACTGTATTTCAACCTTACCTGATAGGTAAGAAAAAGAAATGACTGGCAAGAATCAATGACTACCTACTAAAAAAAATAGTTATTAAATAATTATTTATTATAAAAAGTTCGTTTAAAGCTAACTTTTTGTTTATTGGAATAAAAATGAAGTAGTTCTGGAATATATCTTCTTTTCTTGTCCATCTAAACTATTTTTTGTAAATATAAGATTATATTTGTAACATATAAAATTGTATGATACCATAATTTTGGTGTATATTTACATCATATGAGTAGCCCAAGGTGAAGTCTTTATGTTTCGTTTCATTTACTTGCTTAGATGTTTTGTAACTCTGTATTTTTACCTAGATTTATAATATGCAAATGCGTTAATCATACAAAAAAATATTGTTATGAACAATACATAAAAATGATTTCATACGTATGTGTATCGTAGCTATTTCAATTTTCGAACTTCTCCTCCTTTAATTTATAATATTATGATCTTATAATTTTGGTGTAAATATACATCATAATATGTATAAGTAGCCCAAAGTGTAGTCTTCCTGGTTCGTTTCATTTACTTGCTTAGATGTCTTGACCTACATTCATAATATGCACATTCGTAATCGTACAACAAGTTATTGTTATGAACAATACATAAATACGTAGGATCTCATACGTATTTCTATCGTAGATATGTGAATTTCTAACAATTGCATTTTTTCATCATTTGATTTATCCAGTTCTATAGCTATACAGCTTTTGAGCTTAGAGTGCCTCGTCAGAGACGTACTAATAATATAGGTAGGTATATTAATATATTATATTATAGGTAAATAGATTATTGGTGGTAGAGCGTGAAATAATAAAATAAAATATTACTTATCCAATATACCGTCGTTTTTTGTAGATAGCATAGGACACATGTACCAGAATTTCTAACTCAATATTGTATGTTCGTGATTTTGTCAAAATTCTCACTTGGTCGCGTGTCGTCTTGGTGAATTAGGGTATAGTGAGTAGTGACAAGTGACAACTCGGACAGCGGTACAACGGTACAACGGTACAACGGTGCAACACCTTCAACAGACGACGTGACCACGAGTCACGACTACAAACGACTTCGACGGTTAGACGTAACGCGGTGTACACTGTACAGTTAAAATAATAAAAAAAACAACAATATATCAATACAAATAGGTATAATAGTAAGGTTAGGTTAATAGTAATATATAATAGTAATAATAATAATATAATGAAATATTATTAATTAACCGAAAACGCGTAAACACTGGAGTTTCCGTGCGCGCACTTGTGTAGTTGTGTGTACTGTGTAGAATTAAGTATTAAGTATAAACATCAAAGATAGTAGATACGCGGCCTGTCGCGGCCACGAGGTCAGGTTATCGGCATTCTTCGCACTCGGTCGCTCCAAATAATTATTACAATAATATTATTATCGGAATCCGAATAATCCGATCAACGTGCGTATTGACACACCTTGAATCCGATATTCTAATTATATTCGTCGGTCGGCGTCACTCGGCGAGTGAGTGCGTGCGCGCGTAATAAAGCTTTCGTATTGCGATTTGCGATAAGTTATTGAGAGGACTCTTGCGCATAGACAAAGAAAATTAGCAACAGTGCACTTTTATCTATGACGGACGACGGTGGTCTACAGAGGCGCCAGGTTTTGAAAATGTCATGGGGGCTCACTATTTTATAAACACATATATGTACAGTTTTACCTAAATAATTTAATTTTCCTAAAATTGATCGTTAAACAATTTTCTAAAATATAGCTATTTGTTGTTTTGTATGTTATAACATTTTAATAGTATTAGTAATTTTAATTTAAATCATAAAAGACCACAAGATAAAAATTTAAAAATGCCAATTTAATTTGGAAGGTTACATGTCTTATATAGAAAATGTATTTTTCCACACTTAAAATTAGTATTTTGAGGGCATTTTACAATTTGAAAACCGTGGGGGGGCTGAGCTCCGGCTTATCGAGCTCATGGGGGGCTGGAGCCCCCCTGTACTCAGGGCCCTGGTGGTCTAAAAAGCATTGGCGTCCGCACTGCGTAGACCTCAAAGCCAATGATGATGGGTACTTCAGTAGGTAGGTTCTTTAATAGTTGAATACTTCAATAGCGTTCAAACAAATAACAATTTAACCGTTCCATAAAAACCTACTATTTACTCTCTGGCTGGTCACTTACATATTTTGTAGTACCGTCAATCGAGGTGACTTGGAACGATTTTGACATATTTCTTGTTATTCTGAGCTTAAAAAAAATCGCACTGGACTACAAAAAATACATAAATGTTTGCATACGTCTCATGAATAGGATAAGACCTTTCATTTAGTTTTTTGACCAAAACTGAACTTAAAAAAAAGTAAAAAGTACGTGTTCCAAGTCACCTCAATTTTTGGGTGACTTGGAACAGCTATGAAAATTTAATGTGAAATTCAATTCAAGAACGTTAGAGGTGACTTGGAACAAAATTTTTATTTTAAAAATTAACACAAGAACATGTTAAATAAATATTAAAAAGAAACAGGTTAACTTTACCTTTTTTTAACAGTAAACTAAATATTTAAATAATAAAATATTAATAACATGATAAAAACAAAATAAAAATTCTTTCTAAATAGAAAAACATAACTAAATAGTTCTTCAAAATAAACACAAATACATTTTAAATATCATCGAGGGCCTGTAAAGTGTTTCGTCACTGTCATTTATATATGTCCGGCTACCCGGTATACGCTCGTATTTGTTTGGCATTTTTGGTGTTCCAAGTCACCCTCAATTTTCTTCTGTAAAATAAAACTTAAGTTATAAAATTAGAAAAAAATTTTTAAGGACTTTTAACTACAAAAGTCTGCTTTTGAAGTGTCCTTTAATGTATAAAAAATATACAAATCTTTAAATTTGACTTCAATCACCAACATTTGAAGCACTTTTGAGAGCAATGATAAAATCGTTGTTATCATAAGAAATGTTTGGTTATTTTTTTCGGTGGTAATGATAAGACCAACCACATGGTTGATGATAACATTTATTATCACAAATATTGTAAATTTAATTTAAATGCAGGCAGATTTAAATTATATCATTTTGTTTCATAGATAACCTGATATGTTTAAAAAAAAACCGGGGTGTTTCATTTCACCTCAAAGTTCCAAGTCACCTCGATTGACGGTAATACAAAAATATTTTTCATCGAGATTTGAAACTTTATACGGTTATACCGATGATTGTTCTATGGTTATACCTATATAATTATATTTTATATTATACACATACCTAAGTACCTAACACATTTTCAAAAAAAGTAAATGAATTTTATGCATTATGCTATTGCGTATCTAATAATATTATTTATATGGTTTATATATTTTTTTTATATAAATAGAAACCCAAGATAATGACAGAATATTATACTTATCTATGAGCTGGATATTATATCCAGGATATACCAGACACTTATAGTGACCATGAACTACGATTAATTAATAATTAATCAAAGTTCATGCTAGTGACTATATAGCGGACGTAGTGGTAGTAGGTAGTACGATCAGCAGTGGTTGGGTATGCCGAACAAATATTGTCGAACTATTTTCTTATACACAAATACATAATGCGTGTTGTGCACTTGTGCGAAATGTGTACCTAATACCTATAATTATTATTAATTTCAAGGTAATTAACCACACTTTGACGTAAGAACTATAAAATTAGTAGAATTTGTTGGATAAGTTATTTTCAATCATCCTAGGATTTATAGTAAGTAGCTATAATAACTGGCAAGTTAATGTTCGTCTAGGGCCTACTGGCCTAGGTGTCGAATATTGCTTAATAGTTAAATAGTTAAATATTATGGCATGAATGAAAGCAGGGCTTATTCTAAGGATTTTTATCAACTACGCATTTTTTTTTAATAAGCCTATAAAAATAGAACTATAATAATCTCGAAATGTATTATCAAACTAGTTAAAAATGATAATATTTTTAGTTTTAATGTGGAAGAATTTAAAATTTAACCTATTATGAACAAAATAAACATTCACGTTTAAAATATTGTATTTTAAATAATATCCTCTTTATTTTTTTCATACTATTTATAAATTATAATTTATATATACATAACACATAACACAATACTATTAGAACATTCTTTTTTTAATCGTTTGTTCAGTTTGGTCTTCAGATTTTCTTTTTGTCGCTTCCATAAATATCCCACTGAACCATTCCTGTTCTTTGGCTTTAGGAGTTTCTTTAATGCGGCGTTCATTTTGGTTTAATCATATTTGTATTGCTGGTCTTGGGTACCAATTTTGAAGAGCAGGCATGTTAAAATGAATAAAAAGATATTCATTTTCTGTTTCAACATGCAAACTTTGACGATTTATTGATTTAAGAATATTGCTTTTACTTATTATATTATTAAAAGTTCAACGTCAGCGCTGTGAGGTTTTGCAGCTATAACACGAGCAAGTAAAATAGTAATATTTTTAAACTCTTTGGAACCAGATAAATATTGCACTAATTTAGGCAGTGGCATTTGTCGTATCTCTTCTAATCTATTGTGTTCCATTAAATCTGTATACTCCATATTTAAATCAGCTAAATCTAAATCCTTACCCAAAACGTCAAATACATTCCTAATGTTAGCTTTGCTATCAAGATTAGCAACAGGTTTAATAGTACTAACAAAATATTTATCAATATCTATATTCTATGCGGTCTTGCAAAAAATTAGCCAAAGTTTCTACTATTTCATGGCATATAGCACTTACAGATCTATTTTCAGTTACATACAAATTATGCCTATGTTTTCGTTTTTCTTGAAAATCAATTAATTTTATAACTTTTAGAACTTTTCCGTCGGTACCTTTAAGTTCATCTTCGAGTACATCTACCCAACCACCAACTAAATTAATTGAACTCAATGATTTAATTTTGTTTATAACTGACTCAGTATGTTTAACAAGATCCAAAACCGTTATTTTATCACTTTGAATAGTTTGTTGATAGCGACTAAAAATGGCCAATACATCTGCCAAAAATGCTAATAAAAAAATAGAGTCCTTATTTGTTAATAATAATAAAAATTCGTTGGATTCTTTCTCTTTAGAATTTTGCATATAAATAACCAGAGCTTTCCATGAAATTAATATTGCGTTAACTAGACTAAAAGAAAATTCTGTCCATCGCACTTGAAAAAATGTTGGTATCCTTATAAGCTGTAAATTATTTTCCTTAGACAGTTGTTGTAGTTCTCTAGTTCGAAGTGCTGAGTTGTGGAAAAAAGCAGAAATTCCTGATAACTTACTTACGATATGAGATACTTCTACTACGGTAGAACTTACATCTTTCCATGCAAGATTTGACGATGAACAGCACACCAAATCTTAATTAATGGTACATTCTGCGAATGTGTACTGCCGGCAGCCGGCATAATATAAAATAAATCTACGTAATCTAATAATATTATAAATATAATAAATTAATAAGGAATATTGTCGCCTTATCGGTATTCGATATTACGTGTTCTTAGAAAACCCTAACTCCAAAGAGTTGGATCTTGCCTACAATTTCTAATAATAAACATAGTTCAGTAGTTTCATAGATTAATAATCAGTACGCAAAAATTGATTATCAAGTGCGCGTCTAGCTTTTCCAAATACGCAAAATAAGCCCAACTGCGCTTTAGAATAAGCCCTGAATGAAAGATGAAAGAATAGGTTTTATTAAAAAAAAATATTTATAACAATAATACAACTTGAAATGGCATAATAATGTTAATGGTATATAAGTATTTAGTAGGTAGGTGAAAATAAATAATAATTAAAATCGAATTAAAAACTAAAATTGGATAACTATACTATAACTATTCTTTGTAACATTATGGTACAAGTGTACAAAAACCACACCACGTCCTTGCAGTTTTGTATCTTATTGAAATTTGAACTACAGAAATATTCTATAGTTAGATACATGACGAAATAACGAAATTTCGTCATGGTTAGATAGTTCTAATATTATTATATTATTAAATGCAATACTTATAAATCAAACAGAGATAAAGTATTTCAAAAATTTGTTTTTTAGAAATGATTTAAGTGATTTAATTTTTTATACATGATAAAATCATTGTGCTATTTATAAACATAAAACATTGTCAATTCTTGATGTTTTTTTTTTTCTATAAATGTCAATAAATAATTTTTCTTTGGGTAAAAAAACTTGAAAATCTAATACAAGGTTTTTCATAGCTCATAAGTTAGGTAGGTATTACAATAACAGACAACAGTTAAAAATTATTAAAGATACATAGAGACACGACTTTATTTTATTATCAATTTAATTCGTCAAAATCTCGAAAATGTGCATTATATTTTCACTTATTATTTTGTAGAAGTTACAAGTTTATAAAAATGTTAATTTTTCATACATCGAAAATTTGCAAAAATTAATGGAATTAAAATTGGAAATAGAATATTTAGAATATGAGAATAGAAATAGATATGAACAGAAATTCTGTGTAACGCGCACTCACTCACCGTCTACGATGTAGTACAGTGCGAACGCAGCTGATTATAATCTGAAAATAACATTCTGTGGTGGGAGGAACGCTGAAAATCTTTACGATGCAGTCGATGCAGTTGATGATTTAATCTCTTTTCTATGGATGCACATTGCACCTCACGAGTCACAAGTTTGAAGTTCCAGTACAGTGCGCAGAAAAGGGATAAATTTATATTTATGGTACAGTACTACAGTGTATTAAGTATTTGTGTTGTGTACACGAGTCACGAGTAGTTTTAATATATTATTAGTTTTATTTTTATACCTAACGATACAATAATATTGACAATTTCGATAATAATTTAAAATAATATTACAGAACACCGCGACGCCGTCGAACTCGTCCAAAACTCCAAAACTCAAATCGCACTCACGTACTCTGTACCAGTAATACCTCACGTGACTTTCGTAGTCGTGGTCACGTACTCATCACCACTCGCTTCTGTTCACTCATCACTGTTGTCACTTGTCACTTGTCAGTTGTCACTCGCCGTACATCCGCCGTCGACGACGCTGCCGCAAGATACCGCACGGACACTCAACACGAGGTAAGTCGCAAACATTAATTGCCTATTATTTCGAGTTTACAGGTAGGCACCTACTACTATAGGTACGCGTGTCGTATGCTGTCTACAATAAATGACCACCTAAAAAAACGTGTTCTATGCAAATGTGTCTTTTATATTGTCCAAAAAAACTGTCCAAAGACATTGGTCGGATTGACTTAACGCATAGACTTATGTAAGCTAATGAACAGCGCACTGAGAGGGAAAAGAGAGGTTTTGGGCCGTTACAGTGTACTAAAACATACAGGCCGAAACGTTTTTTTTCTCTCATATAGTCATAAAATGTTAATATGTTGTGTTTTCTTTCTCGCTTATGCCGTCCGGATTAACCATGCGCTGGGCGGTGTTGGATGTGCTGTCTATTAGTTTATCGGTCTATGACTTAACGCTTCTATTCTTCATGTAATAAATTGCCTTTCGAGTAGGTTTTTCACTCCACTTGCCGTCATATCACATTTTACTCTTACGTGTCTCCATAAACACTCAATTGTACCTATGTGTTTGAGCACCTGCATGTAGATTAATGAAGTTTTTAGTATGGTTATTGGTTTGGTGGAGACAATTGTACGTACGTGACAATGATGTGAACGAGGATGTGAAGTTACGAATAAATGTTCCTTAAAGTTATAGATTTTTTCGGAAAAGACATAATTCCTGTCCTATCCGTTTTCCAAGTAGAACTTTCTACACCACTATAGTAACGTTACTCCAGTGACATCTGGGGAAACTTTGACTTTCTGGGAAAACGGGTAGACCACTAATTATCTGTCTGTAATTATTAGTCTGCCAAGTTTACTGAAATTCTTAAACATTTTTCTTCAACCAATGCTAAAATTTCTAGTCTTCATGATTATAAACGTAATTTGTTTCTTTATAATTATAAAATAACAAAATACAATATGACCAACATAGAGTACCTACATTTGCGTTATAAATATTAAGATATAATCTCGGATATAATCAACTGATTACGACTTACATAGGTACAATTCCTATATACAATTCTCACCTCACAACTTCTGACTTTATCTTACCCTGGTCATCCCTACCAACATCGATTATATAAGTCTGTATTTCAAATCTTTCAATGCAGTACCTGTAAGTATTGTCGATTACTGCACTGATTTGAATATTCAACATTTCAACTAGGTACAATAAATAACTAAGAAAATGGTACTCATTCTATATTCTTATTTTAATTCAATAGATAATACTTTACTAACAATAAAAATATACCTATTCTTTATATAATATTTTGATCATGATGTGAAGTTACAAATAAATGTACCTTAATATGTTGTAGATTTTTCTTACTTAGGTACTTATTGAAAAACAACTTGTACATAGGTACAATTTACAAGCGAGGAACAATGAAAATCATATAATTATATCCATATTATTTATTTTGCTAAATATGTCATATTATGGACCTTACTCCGCCCATACACAAAGTTATAATATATTATTAAAGTTATAATATATTATTATACATGTAATATTTTCAGGATGATCTGAGCTTAACGACAAGACCCCAGGAAAGCAATAGTTATAACTATGATGCAATAGTACAATATAATATACTTGGCAACTAATAACTATATTATATTATATAAGCCCATATTTCAATAACATACATAATATGGATTAGAACTCTAGACGTTCAGTATTGTTGATTACTGCACTGATTTGAATTAAACTACAAATTACAATACATACCTAAGTTTAGTAAGAAAATAGATACGCATTCTCATACTTATTGTAATTCAATAATATTTTAATAACAACAAAAATATAATTAACTCATTTTTAGATAATACTGTGTTCATGATGTGAAATTACAAATAAATCATAAATGTTCCATAAAGTTGACTTAGAGTTTTTGGGAAACTGAAAGGCATTCATACTTACTTATTGAAAAACAACCTTGTTCTGTTATAAATTAGAAATATAATGAAAACACCAATATGTATTATAAATCTAATATAGAATCATTAGTATTATTAGTATCACCTAACTTATATTTTATTTGTTTATTTTATTAATATTTAAATAAATTCACCCAGCAAATGTGTACCTTACTAACAAGCAATAAATTAAATAGAAAATGTGGTTCTGTAGCAATTGTGACTTTTGTGACCTGGTAAATATTTTAAAGGGATCTGTAAAAATGTTAGCTTTAAAAATTGAAATAACATAAATGACACGCTTGGCATTATACCTACATACAATTCACTATCTATAGGAACAATGAACAACATTAATTCCATATTATTTATTTTTAATAAATCTACGTAATAAGTTATTTCTAAACATCAGTATTTTGTTGGTTTTTACACTTTAGATCCTTCAACTTATTATTAGGTTATAATAACACACTGATATTAAAATTAATCAAAATTTTTAAAATAATTTCAAAGGTGTTATGTCAGTTAAAGAAATGGATACCTTACAGACTTCATCTTGTGAAAATAATCTAAAGCAAGTTCTGAAATCAAATGACTGTAAACCAACACATTTTAGAAGTGACTCTCACTCTGCCAGAATACTGGAAAGTTTACAATCTCTACTCAAGTATGTTGATGGTTATTTTAACTTCATTCAAAATAAATATCAGTAACACATTTTCGTTTTTAGAAATGAAGTTTTATGTGACATTAGACTTGAAGCAGATGATGGTAAAATTGTAATTGGACATAAAATTATTTTAATAGCAGCTAGTCCATATTTCCGAGCAATGTTTAGTAATTTTGATGAAAGCAATAAAGACCTGATTAATATAAGAGAATTGGATTCCACTATTTTACAACTATTAGTAGATTATATCTATACTGGAGAAATTATGATCACAAAAGAAAATGTACAGGTATAATAAAATATTTTATTTGATATTTCGACTTCAAACAACATATTATTATATGTTAATTATTGTTGATTTCTTAGGTGTTGTTACCCGCCGCAAATATCTTACAGTTAGATTATGTAATTGGTGT